ATCAAGCTATATTGCGACAATAGTGTAGAAGTAGTCCAAACCAATGACCCAAGGTTCTATAGAGGAACAAGATACACTAAGAGGAAGTATCATGTTCAACATGATATTGTCCGACAAGAAAATGTACTTGTAGCTAGAACATTACATTGGAACACAACTTTGTTGATCCATTATCAAAGGTGTCATTGATCAATAATTTTGATCATCATCTGGATAACATTGGAGTTAGGTGCAATTTGAATTGGCTATGAGGGCAAGTGGGAGCTGTTGGGATTTATATGCCCTGGCATAGCAAATTCCTGTTTGGATTAAAGTGACATATGTTTCTGACGTTTCTGAAATATTTATGTTTTATACAATTGGTGAATTCAATGTATTATATTTCGATTCATTATAGAATTGATAGTGTCCATTTGATTACAAGAGATATTTATATATATATGTATGTGATGGCAATCAATGCATGATATATAAATAGTAATCATAAATGGTTCATAGTCGGTAATTATGGATGGACTCATAATTAATTAAGATTTGAACTGGATCTGCGTTAGGTTGAGATATATTGCGAGAGCCGTCGTATGCAATTGCTCCCTATCACCGTCATGGTATTTGACTCTTAAGCATGAGAAAATTATAGACTCTTTTATTAATTAATAATTACTTTGATTTGTTCGGCGGATTCTTCGGGATCCTTAGACCGACACTTTGGGTAGTTATGTAATTAATAATTAGAGGGTTATATTTTCGATATTTGCATTATTGCTACTTGTATTTATTTTGTATTGATTATGGTTGATCACAAAGTAAATTCGAAGGCCTTCGTGTGTTTTTAGACAAAATGATTTATTATATATTTATTTATTTAAATTATTATTTTTGTCAAACAAATGTTTTATTGTGATCGAGCCAGAAATAATCAAAGGTACCAAAATAAATATATTAATTAAGTAGTCGGATTGATGGCTATATTTATCCGATAACTAATTATGCATAGAGGGGTCAAAGTGCAATATTGACTTAGAGGTTATTTATTATTTAATTGGAGTTCAATTAATTTCTTTTAGTGGAGTAGAAATTAATTTATGAATTAATTGAATTGGGTCCATGGATCGGGCCAATTATCAATTCATTGTAGATAATAAAATAATAGGCCCAATGGATTCTCACTCATAGCCCAACTTGATATTGGAATCATATTAGATTTGAGACATATGAATTAGAGATGGAGAAGGATTTGTTGTTTCCTTTTCTTTATTTTTATGTTGCCTATAAATATACATGGTCTATGTATATTTTAGGGGGTGATTTTTAGTAGAAGGAAAAGGGAATATATTTTCTCTCTCTAGAAAATTAGGGTTTATGTTCTCATCTAATGGAGGCTCCCACAAGTCTAGTTTTCCAAGGTCATTCATGGAGGCATATGAGTGATTCCTAAAGGCAAAACAATTACCAAGAAGATGGAGATCCAAGGAGAATGCATCTTGCTAAGGGATCTACAATAAGTGAGAACATTCACTTTAGAGGAGAGATCTAAGGTTTACTCAAACCTAGATGTAAGTATTCAATTTTTTTTTTTTGAATGATACATCATATTTTATTTTTGCATAAAATTTGTCTCTATATAATGAATCAAGATTTATGAATTTAAATCCCTCGAAAAGTTTTTAAAACTAGCACGTTTCCCAACAGATGGGTCTTCTCTAGTCTTCCCTTCTTTCTCTGCGTTGACAACCACCAAGATGAAGAAGAAAAAGGGCCAAACCCTTTTTAGTCATTTCACAAAATATATATATTTTTATATATATTACAAAATGTTTTGCTAAGGACATTTTAATTCAATATTTATAAATAGGACCAATTTGCACAAATGTCATAGTTTAGGAGTGTTTTTTGTAAGAGAGGGGTGTAATATGCACCATAAACATAGGGATTTTTTTTGTACTTGACTCTTGAAAATAAATTGTTAACCTTAGAGGGATAGACATAGAGATTGATTTTTTTACCTTAACAGAGCAACAAAGATTGATCGTTAGTCCAAGAATAGAGAGTGGGTTTCAGTGAGAGGAAGAGAGTGAAGATCATCCAGTTCATGTTTTCAATGAGAGCTTGATCAATGGAGAACGACTGAGGGTAAGATCATTCATGAGAGCGATTGAGGGGGTGTGCAGTGGTGTCTAAGGCTTTAATTTGGGTGTGTTTTGGTGGTATCTATAGGTTTGGGTGTGCTTGGCCTTAAATGTAAGGAATACAGGAATAAGTCAAATATTGTTAAGTTATGACTTAAGGATAATTTTGACATTTTGTTTTTTTGTTATTTATTTATTTATTTATATTAATGATAAAGTAAGACTAATTTAGTAATTTTAACATCAAAATTATGATTTATTCTTATTTGCACAAATTAGAAACAAGGGGGGGTAATTGCACATTTTGTATATGACACAAATTTTTTTTTTTTTTTTGCACTTATAACCCTTTATAAAATAATGTGGGTGTCGAAAAAACAAAAAAATAATTGGGGGGCCAAGTGGGAAGTTTACAGTGCACAATCTTCTCTTTAATCCTTTTGTTTGTCCAAATGTGGATCCTCGATCCTCATCTTCTCTTCTTTGCAAATGGCCTGAGAAACACTTATACATGAATAGGAACGCAAAAAAAAAAAAATATGGATACCACAAAAATACATCAAAAAATAATAATCAAATATTATATATATAAATAACATTTTTCAAATATTATATAGATAAATAATAATTTTTGCTCATTTTTCATATAACCATAAATAAAATCACTAATTTGAAAATTAGAGCTAGATTTTCATTATTTTTCTTTATTTTCTTCAATTTTATGTTATGTTTCTAATTAATCTATAATTTATTTAGAACTATATTGAATTCCATTTTTCTAAAGATAAAAATTTATAAAACCACTCTGTTATATCCTATCTAAAACCGATCATTGTCATATTCATGCCATATCTCAACCGTGTCCAACTAGTAAATAACATAATTAAATTTCGGGACATTCTAGGCTTCTAGCCATATTCGTGTATCCAAAACTTATATGAGTATCCAATGCCACTACAACACTCTTGGTGAAGTATAGTGCTTCCTAGCAAATGGTTTAAACTTTTATTTGGGATCCTTAAAGCCTAATGTTGATGCTGCAGTTAACAGTTTGTGTGAAGATTGTTGGTTGTCACGCTCTGACGTGGATGCTTGTCACACAGGCGCACAGTAGGATGATAACATGAGTAGTTTGTATGGTCGGAACAACAATACACCAGTGTAGGCTTGTAGATCGAGTTCTCTTAAAGTAATTGTGTAGAGTTATGTAGAATTGTATAGATTTATACAATATAGACCCTCTAGAGTTATTTTAGATATTCTTTTGAAGTGCTCTAGAATTCTGTCAGCAGTTAAATCCGCAACACGTATATATCTTAGACTTCTTAGCCATGCATTTGGCTTATAAATAGGGGTGGTACTTCATTGCTTCTCCCAACCAAGCAACAAGTTTTAAGCATTCTCCATGAACACTACAACTTATGGATTCACTCAAACTCTCTCTTGCTCACTTGCCTACTTCCCTTTCTTCATTCACTTCTGTAGTTTAGGTAGGCTGAGTTAGGATATCACCAAGTCTATGGTGGAGTGGTGGTTAGAGACCACAATGGTTGGCCACCGGCTGCTTGCAACTTTTTACGTAAATGTTGAAAGTTTTTATATGAAACACTTGAAGAATTTATGGTAGGTGAGCATTTTGTGCTGATATAAGAGAAAAATAAGTAAGTTGATTGTTTTGTTTTTTAGGAGGAAATGATACCGATATGTCAATTGTTTAAAAGAAAAAAAAAAAGATTAAATATACTTCTTCATCAATCATTTTTCAGTGTTAAAATCCAACTACACAAGAGAGAGGAGATAGGGAAGAGTAATAACAATATCCAGCTTAAATGACATTGTTAAATTTTAATCTTTAAAAATCTAAATGGCATTATTAAACTTTAATATTAAGAATACTTCTCCTCCAAAGCAACACATGTATCAAACATAAATACAATTGTCCCCAAATTTGAATATTTTAATTTTCGGTCGAAAATGAGTGGGTTACGACGACTGCAAGGAACACTTTCAGAACAAGACGAGGTGGTTTTATAATTATATATTTATTAAAGAATAGTTGAATTCAAACAAAAACAACATACACCAAATTCTAAGCTCCAAATTAGTGATTTAATTTAGTGATTTAATATTAATTTTATAAATAAAATGATCAAAAATTATTATATTTTTAAGTTTTAGTGTGTCACCTTGTCCCGTATTCTTGTATCTCATACACGTGTTTCCTAGCTTTAATGTTTTAGTTTCGTTCTCTAGTAGCAAAAGGTGTCTAACTTCCTCTCTTTCTATTCACTTAACCAACCAAAATTAAGGAAGAACAACAATTTTTTTTTTTTCCTAGGGATCCTTTATCCATCTTCCTTCCACTCCTTCCATTTTTCTACCAAACTAGGGAAGAAAAGGAAGGGAAAGGAAATAGTAAAAGTTTATGCTACAAAACTATTTAGATGCATGTGGCCCGTTTTGGGTTATTCAACAAACAGAGCAACAAAGAATTCGGTGGCTTGTTCATCATATGTCAAAAGTGAAGCCTATTTTCTTAATTGTACCGGCCCAAACCAACCAATCTCATGTTCGGGGTTCAAGCCCAACCATTTTTGGGTTTAGGAGCACTCATGTTTATAAAACATGGCTCATCTTTTATTTTTGACAACAAAAGACACACATTTTATTCTTAAAAGAATGTGAATCTTCCAATTTTTACTTCGAAAGAAGAAAAAACGAGTGATACATGAAATCTTCGGGTGGTATTTAGCTCCTTTTCCACAAAAAAAAAAAAAATAATAATAATAATAATAATAAAAAGAAAAAGAAAAGAAAAGAAAAGAAAAGTACAAGAAGATTATGTTTTTTTAAAAAAACATGAAGGTAAAATAAGAAGAAAAATAAGAAACTCTTTGATTAAATAGAGCCAAAGGCTGGCTTGTCTCTAGAGTACAAAGAGAATCTTAATGGGGAAAAAGAAAAAAAAAAAAATAAAAAAAAAAATAAATAAAGATTAGGGAGTACTTCTATGTTACAATGAATTCAAATGGCACATGAATTTCAGATCATGGAACAGGATAAGACTTGTTATTACACATGCATTTGTAAGCGATTGGGCATGTCTCGGCCTCTTCCAGTGAAGCACAAACAAAGCTCACCATGACCAGTCGACATGGCGAACATGACCCGCAACCATGCGAGCAATCTGGTAAGCTCGACCCTGCAATTTGGAGGGTGTCTGGTCTCTTATGCTTTGTTGATCTTCTCTCCCGGTAGAAATCAGGTCTAGCCATTGTGTCTCTTGTGCTAGGCCTTGTTGGATGGTGATGTCCAAGACCTGCAACACACAATATCCAAAACCTTAAAAATCAAGCCATTTGAAAAGTATTAATAATAATATATACATTGTAATTATCATCCTCGTCAACACATGGAAAAACCCATTCATATGAAATTAGGGGAAAGATGATGACGACTGACATACTAGACACGATATGATTAATACACTGGAGAAATTGTCCAAACATAGTTGAAGGAACTGCATATCAAGATATACGAAGATATATGTATGTGTGTGTGGTTGTGTATGTACAGAGAAGAGAAAATTAATCATACGTGAGTGTTGCCGGCCAATGTGCCTGGCTGATATGACTGCTGGGATAAGAAGAAGAGTAAGAATAGCTGCAATGCGAACAAAACCCTTCATGGTTTTGAACTTCTCTCCTATTTTCTTCACTTGGACGAGCTTGTTAAGTGGAAGAAAATGTGAATCTAGAGTGATGGAAAGAGGTAGAGGTGGATGGATATATAAAGGGCTGGACAAGAAGGAAGGTGGTATTGAAGCAAGTCACACGCAAAAGTGTGGACTGTGGACTAATGGATATATAGATGAGGAAAGGTCACATGAAAGAGGGTGCGCAAGAGAACATGATCACAAGGCTTAACCCTGCTAGAAAGGGTGACGGATTTTCTTCACGCTTATGGGGTTCCATGGAGAGGTGATGGTAGTGAAAGAATTTACTGAATTTGACAAGTGCTAGTTTACGTGAGTCATAAATATTTCACATCAATAGTAAACCTTCTTATAAAGTTCAAAATCTTAAGCCAATGTACTGAGGAGTTTTATGTGACTGCCATTAATGTTTTCTGCGGTTGTACCTCATAAACCTAGAAAGCAACTCCCACTTTGGTCCCCCACCTGGCCACCTTCCCTTCAAAATTCATAAATTCAGAAAGTTTTTTCTCATGGTACACGACATTTATAGCTGAAAGTCTGCAGTTATATACCTTTTCTAGGAAATTATAAATAGGTTGGTGTATTAGGTCGTTTGAATAAATTGACTTGACATGCCAATTAACAGGTCTTTTATCCAAATCTTTTTATCTCACTTACATTATCCACCTCTATGCAACTTCGTTTTCAACTTGACGTGTCAATTTCCTGTACCAAATGCAATATTGGCTCTCATTCTTATTGTTAATCAATGTATCTATCAGTTCCATCCATTAAATGTATACTCTCTTATATTCTAAGTTGCCAACCCAATCCTAATATCTTGGAGTAACTCCTCTAGTCAAGCTCATCCAAAATGATGTGAGAATCCTTTCCTTCTTTTCACCACAACTGGATGCCAACATTGCATCCCAATCCTAATATCTTAGATTATAATTTAAGGTAATTTATCCGGACCTTCTCTTAAGGTTGCAACTTTCATCCTCAAATTAAACTTTGATCAACATCATTCTGACAGAGTTGGAAACCCTATTGGTAAAGAATGTCCAATGCAAAATGACTATATTACCCTCAATTGAATGAAAACATAAAGTCTGCAATGGCGACTTCATAGCTAAATTTGTATGATGACTTATATACCCTCTGAGGGTGGGCTCTTGGCACAACGGTAAGATTTCTACATTATGACTTGGAGGTCGAGAGTTTGAGACAACAAAATAATCTCTACATACAGAGATAAAGCTGCATACATCTGACCATTTTTTATGACAACACCGGTCATCTCTGGTGATAGCATACAAGCTTTCAGGTATACATGTAGGTGGGCTTTATTTTAATTTTTTTTTTCCCACTTTTTCTTCTCTATCACAATTATCTCTACATTTATATAAAAGTTTCTTAATTTTTCTCTGAGAACCACCGGAGAGAGAAATTATTGTATAAGATAAGCCCTCAATGGACAAGGCATTCTGGTAAGTTAATTGGAGTGATGGACTGAAACAGATACTATCCTTTTAGTGCTATCTTTATAAAGTAACTTCACTCATCTTTGTTTAAGGAATGCCTTTGGGCAATTTGGTTCATGAATGGCTAAGCAAACAAATTGGGCCTACCAATTGATGCATTCCAATTTGCCCCCAATTCAAATTGGGCCATTGGGGTGCCTGCCTGAATCAAAATTTGGCCAAACTAGCCACTGTATTCTGAGCTGAGATACACAAAGCAAATTAGAACAAAAGTGTTCTCGCAAGCATTACAACAAACACCTAAAATGCATCTTCAAATCTTCACATAAACAAACAAGTTCTTTTGTCACATTGACAATTTTTTGTAATGCAAGTGTAAAATGAGCTGTTTGGATTTTCATTAAAAGCCAAGTAGCCATAGCAAATTGAGAAAAACATATGAAAATTGATATAACGAACATGGAAGTGTTGGTGGTTATTGTTGTGGGTTGATGATTGCGGTTGTGAGGTTCTGTGAAAGAAAGATAGAACAATGGAAGGAGGGAGTCACCTTTGGGCCACTGATGACAATCATTAGGGCGCTTAGGTTTCACCTCATGCCGAAGCAAAGACCCCACCTTATCTCTGCACATTAGCATGCCATGTCATGCCATCAGTAACTAGTGCACCAGTTTTATACGGAGTATATATATATATATATATATATATATATATATATATATATAATTAGAGAGAGAGAGAGAGAGGTGTTTGATCACCTGTTCCTTTGACCTGAACACAACCACCTTTGCAAGGGCTTTCAAGCGATAGATGAGCAGGTATCAGTGCGTATGTTTTAAGGATCTACTAATACCATGTCCCAAATGTCAGTGCCTATGTTGTTACATTATTTGGTACTATTTGGTTTTGGGGTTAATGATTTGTTTAAGGTTCATCTTACATTGTTGTTTAATTACTATTCTTGTCTCAAGGAATAACATTGTTGTTCAATTAGAGTTCCAAGTTATTTTCTATTTTATTTTATTTTTTATTTTAAAAGAGCAATGAATATAACAACCGCCACCCTATTAAAATTCCTCTGCAGAGTATAAAGGAAATATTGGCCGTCTAATAAAATTTTTTATTTAGTCACGATGTGGTCATATTAAGATTTTACAATTACATCTTCAGAAATAAGTGGGATTGGTGTTATTCAAGTGGTTAGGGATTAGACATTTAATGATTTTATCTTTGAATCTCTCATTTTTTAATTCCCACTAATTACTAACACATTCAATAATCTTATCTTCGAATCCCCTGCTCTTTAATTCTCACTAATTACAAACACTTCAACCAATGTTAGGTGAAACAAATTTGTTATAAAACCATATTGAATGATGGAACAATATAATTCTTTAAACAATACAAGAAATTCGTGTTATCATAGCAGCAATTTCACTGAAAAATATCCTTTTTAACAAAATAAATAAATAAATATATATTTTCATCATTATTATTATTTCTTTTAAGGAAAAAAAAAAAATTCCTTAATTTTTGGTGGTTACAGAAAAAACTCAGCTCCATTTCCTTAAAATTTAAAGAGGTTTTATAAGGACTCAACAAGTGTCCCAATTATGAGTGGTAGTGGAGCAGTTTCGAAGGAGCAAAGGAATACTCTCTCTCTCTCTCTCTCTCTCTCTCTCTAATTTTCAAACCCACTCCTCCTACTTCCTCCTACAACTGTCATTGGTGGTTCAGTTCATCATCTTCTTCTCTCTACTCTTTCTTAATTTACTAGCTAAAGAGACATGCATGGCACCTTCAATAATCAACCACCCTTTTCCACCAGCTTCAGCTATGATCAAAGTAATCTTTGATCTTCTAAACTGACACAATCCAACAAGACATGTTTGACATCTTGTTTGGATGGAGAAAAGCCTCCAAATGGTAATCCTTTTTTCTTCTTTTTATTATTTTTTTCTTCAATAATTCTGAGAAGCCTTTTTGGGTAACTGAACGTAATGAATAAATATTAATCATGGTTTTGATAATGAATTTGAGCTTTTTGTTGCAGCAAGAAACTAATTAGGCGCGTTCAATGCCGCCTCAAACTGTTGAAGAATAAGAGATGTTCAATTGTCAGGCATATTCGCGAAGACGTTGCTCAGCTTCTCAAAAATGGCCATGAACAAAATGCCATCAATCGGGTATATGCTCTGCCTATGTCTTCTGTTCTTTACTGAATTGTGTTAGCTGGATTAATTAGTTCAAATCATGCCTATATGAAAAATTGAATTGGGTTCAATTTAATTTTTTATTTATAGATCAATTAGTTCAAATCATGCTTAGATGAAACATTGAATTGGGTTCATGCTTATATAAATATATACCAACTTCCCTTCTTTTGGAGGGCAATGGGTATACTCTTGCTAAATAAGGACCTCTGATTTTTTTTTTTTTTTGGTGAACCAAATAAGGACCTTATCAGCAGCAATATCCACTTGCTAGTCTTTATTAGCAATTTAGCATGATATAATCAACATGGGTAAGATTTAAGAAATAAATGTAGCTCTAATATGCAGGATTAGAGATTCTTTTTTCTAATTCTTTTAATTTTTTTGGGCAGATGAGAAAGACTTGATACAAAAAGTAGGGCTTGTTGCAAAAATTGATGAAATAATTTTATTTAATAAACCCTTGATTTCACATTGTAGTCAGACTTGATATGAAGTTTTTACTTGCCATTTCGCGGTGATTCCTTATATAAACCCTTTATATGTTAAGCTTTTCAGGTTTGAAGCATTTCTATTAGCAGTGTTGAATGTGCCCAATTTATTGTTTTTAATATGTCTACCAATTTTCAGATTGAGCAGCTCTTTATGGATGAAAGCATAGTGACTGTATATGATCTACTGGATCATTTCTGTGAATTCATCATCATCCATCTTTCCTACATCCGCAGACACAAGTATGCTTTGCAGTATAGTTAATCTTAGCTTCGTATTTTCAAAATATATGATTCCTTTTTACCTCTTTTCACATTGTTTTGCTTTATATCAAGGCGTTATTGTGCTGTAATTTCATAATTTTAGGGATTGTCCTAATGATATCAATGAGGCGGTGTCAAGTCTTATATTTGCATCTGCAAGATGTGGGGATCTTCCCGAGCTTCCGGTTATTAGGAAGCTCTTTGGGGAGCGTTATGGTCATAGATTTGCAACGGCTGCTCTTGAATTACTTCCGGGGAATCTTGTGAATCATCAGGTTATATATCAATTCATATTTTACAAAATAAATTTATGTGGGCTTCTCTAGTAATTGACCTTCTAAAACTGAACATGTGATTGGAACCCATTAAATTCTTAACAGATAAAGGAGAAACTCTCCATAAAGTCGGTATCAGATGATGTGAAGTACATGTTGGTGGATGAAATAGCTCGGAGTTGTCTTCAGTCAAGACCTTTAGCAATCGAGTATAGTTCTGAACTGCAACAACAGCAGGTAATTTTTCAGAAATTTTCAACTCACAAAAACACGAGTTCTGTGCTTTACTAGGCGCAGCTCAAGTAGTGTTGTACCATGGAATTGCAGGCAAACAACAATTCTGTACATCAAGTCCCGGATGGAACTGAAGGATTTCAAATTCATGCTTCGGAAAATAGAGAGACTGAAGGAAAGATCTTTCATGTTGATGTCTTATCAAAAGGCAATAAATTTATCAACAAACCATTTCACTCTCACCAAGAGTCTGATGCAAGTGGAATTCCCACCGTTTGTTCGACAGGCTTGCACTCTTTTCCTAACACTTCGCCATCATCTATGCATAAGAAAGAAGGGAAAGTAGAAAAGTACATCCAGCTGAATTCTCCATCTGAACTCACAATTTCTGGTCAGAGTACCACCAGAAGTTCGAGTTCTAGCATAAGTACTAATGCTGTCACGTTGGTACTCAAGGAAGGGAACATGGCTGCAGAGTCTTCTTCCGAAAGTTCATCCCAATTGCCAGAGGAAATGATATACCTCGATGACATTGAGGAGTTCCAGTCTCCCACAAGTAAAGACGTAAAGTGCCAGGATCAAAGACTATTTATGTTCAAATCACCTGTTCTTCACAATAGAGAGAAGTTTGATTATGGTTCAAAAGAAGATTATATAGAGCAATCTAAATCATGGAATGAAAATGTCAACTCAAGAAGCTCTACGAAGAGCGGGAGGGCAGCTGGAAAGAGGTTAAGGAGAAGATCAGTTTCTCAGGAAAGTAGTAGTGTGACGGATGTAGAATGTGAACTTTATTATGGCAAGTCATTTGAGAATTCCCCAAATCTAAACTGGAAATCTCATCACTGCAAAATGTATCAGAAGAATATTCAAATGGATGAAAGCCAGGAATCATATAATGCAGAAGAAAGAGTAGAACATCATCCCTGCTGCACGAAAAGGGGAAGCAGCTTTAAGACCGGCAAGTGTAGATATGATCAGATGAAATCATGCTACACGGGGGGCTTTAGAAGTGAAAAAGTCAATGGCTGCAGCTTGGAAAATCCATGTTATTTCTGTGTTAGTGAATATAAAGAAGATTGGGAAAGTCCACCATGGAAGCAAAAGAGGAGAACGACAACATTGGAGGAATTTCAAACTCATTATGCCAAAGAAGGAAAAATGCAGCATGACAATTGCTATTGTTGCTGTTCTTGCAAAGGAGAACAACATGATCAGGAAATGGGATTGGATTTTGTTCCTCAGAAACCAAGAAGAAACTTTCAAAGTGTTGGTACAATGAGCAACAAATTGACCTACCAAGATCACTGGCCTAATAAGCAAGGCAAGGAAGTGGAAGGAGGAGGTAGACATATTGATTCTATATGCTCTGGCTCGAAATTGGCTAGTCCTCGGACAAGAAAAGAAACACAGCCACCATATTTTAGGGCCATGACTATGCCTCCTGAACGGCCGAAAGATGGTTGCACTGATAACATTGTGAGGTCCAACTCATTCCCATTTGAACAGCCTTCTCCCCATGTCCATCCAAAGTTGCCAGACTATGATGAATTAGCAGCTAAGTTCAGGGCTCTCAAGAAAGCAAATTCGCAAAATAAGCATCTCTGAAGCTGCTAGAGACGTGAACCGAGCATGATGCCTTCTGCACTGGATCAGATATTCAGATGTCTAATATTTATTCCGATATTTGTCTCATTTAGCTGTCCATTTTTCCCATGTTATGATCAGTAGAATTACCTTCTTAATTACTTATTAAGAATGGGATGATTTGTTTGGAACGAAATGATTTGTATGATGACAATGGTTGCACAAGAAGTTCAGAGGAATTCTTTATTTTATTTTTTACAAATGAAATGTTGAAAGCAAATATAAAGGAGTAAAAAGTTGCTTTTATGAGTTTATTCTTTTTGTATAGATTTTCTGGAGTTTCAAACATTTAATAATTGTGTCACGATAATCAAATCATAAATGACGAATTTGATTTATTTTGATTATGTAAGTTGAGATTTGCGCTCCACAATTATTCTATATCCTGCCACCCATTCCCTTTCTCTTTCTTCAAAAGAATCCTTATATTACACAATGCCTCATTATTATAATTTTAATACCAAAATTACCCTTCCTAATATTTTTAGAATTATTGCTGTTCAAATTCCTAACTTCTCACGTTCTTTCCCTTCTCCCTCTCCAAAATTCACAAAAATATGGAAGTCATTAAAAAAGATCAGAGTACTTAGTTTTATGACTAGTTAAGAATAATTTATTTATTTATGCCAAGTTATAAGATAATCAAGTTGATGGGGAGGATGTAAAAAAAAAACCATCCAACACAAAAGGCCTTCCCAAGTCCAAACACAAACAAACTACTACAACAGAGTACTTAGTTTTATGCGAAAGGATTATGTATATGAAGATGCAAGAAATTCCTCCTTTCTTTCTCTCCTTCTCCATCCATCACTTCTCCTATTTATAGATACTTACAAATGTTGATGGACTGCTGGATCTAGGCCCGTTCCTCTATGAGTTTTGGTCATCTTTCATGGGCTATTCGCGTTCGGCCCATATGGCAGTGTCTTTCTATGGGCCTGACCCATCTGTACGGACCGGATGTCGTGTTTGCAGGTCATATCCGGCCCATCTCACTTCGAGCCTCCTCAACTGCCCCCATAATTACCCTTTGTTTAATAAGGGGGTAATTATTGAAGGCGTCTCATCATGACGTTGACGGCTCGAGAAACCCATATGGGGGAACGGACGGTCAGATCAGGAATCAATGTTCCGGGGCTCAATGAATTTCTCGCCTTCCTGACGCTTCGGCCCTCGGGTCCCCCTCGCCTTTATAAGGCTTTAGAATACCACTTCATGCCTTTTTACCGTCTCCATCATCAGTCAAATCTCTCGTTCATCCTTTTAGAACAGTGCTAAATTTCTTCCGGTGAAATCCTTCAAGAGTCATTCTTCCAGCGATCTTGCAGTGCTCTTTGTTGCTTTCTACCTCAGAGGTTAGTTTTGTTCCTTTTTACTTTCGGCAGGCTTCTTTTTACCCTTTTAGATCCTTCAATCGCTTCCACCATGGTTGTAGATCTAGATGTTCTTCGTATGAGACTTAGACTTCCTGACAACATTCAAGTTAGGGTTTGCCCTAAGGATGTTAATATTATGACCGGTGCCGGCCTTCTTCCCGGCGAAGTTTTATTTTCAAACCTTCAACTGAATGTCGTTAGGTTCCCTCTGCACCCCTTCTTTAATTATGTCTTCAATAGACTGGGGATATCCCCCCTACAAGTAAACCCCAATTTCTTTAGAATCATATCCATTATGCTACTGTTGATTCGTGATAGAAGTCTGGACCTTGACCTCATAGATCTTCTTCTGTGTTATAAGGTCAGTAAGATCCGAACTAACGAGCCATTCTACCACCTCTACCCGATCGACAAGATGTCCATATGTACGGATACAATAAAATCTGAAAAGGGTTGGAGAGATAACATTGTGGGCATTAGTGGGGCCTGGTCTTCGCCGGCTGCAGAGGATTACCCAATCCCGAGCGCCTTTGGCGTCTGTTCTGTTTCCTCATATAAGAAATTCAAATCTCATAAAAACGATTGTCCCTGCGAAACATGTGTTCTTCGCTTTTGTACTTTCTTATGTCGCTCCTTAGGCATACCTTGTGATGACTTGAGCTACAGTGTTTGCAGGGATAGGAGTAATTACTTGAAGAAATACGTTTTGAACGATATTCCTTCTTGCTCAGACCTCCTCACTTCAGACAACCTTCTAGCGCTCTCATCCCTCGGCTATACCATGAGCAGGCTTCAGATTCCATCCTTTGGTAGGAGGAAAAATACTCCCCCAGCCACTTCTGCTGCTGGAGCGACCTCCTCTCCTGCATCAGCCTCTTCCTCAGCCACAATCTCTGACACCATCCCGAGTACGGTGGCTATTGATCCTGTTGTCAGCACCCCTGCTACCAACCCGAGCGTGTCTCCACAAATCACTACTACTCCTGCTGTCGCTGGGGGCGCTCGGGACAAAGAACGAGGCAAAAGGCCTCATCCTGACGGTGGAGTCGACCCTGAGGAGGAGCCTTTTATAAGAAGGACCCGAGTCTTTGGGCCGAGTGCTCTCTTGCATCGCCCAGTCAGAGCTCCTGCCCCCTCCGGGCCTGTTGCAGCTGGTGCCTCTGCTTCTGCTTCAGCTTCTCCTTCTCTTCCTGTTTTACCACCATGGGCTCCTCGGTACACCCGAACGGATGGGACGTTCGTGAAGCCGAACGAGACCATGTTAATGGATGACCAGACCGCCATGGTGTATTATAGGAGCATGTGGACTCCGAAAGACCTTGAGGCGGCGAAAGGTCTATCCCAAAAGGATGTGTTCAACCGCTTTCCCCAATCTGCCATGGAAGTGACTTTTATTTTCTAACTCATGAATCCTCTCATACTATTTGGTCTTGCCTTCGTCCGACCAGGCTATCGGTTTAACCATTATTCATGTATATCTATGCAGACTTTGTTCGGTATGATGGCTATGCAGAAGCAGGTGGAAATAGGGAACGCCAGGGCCCGTAAGTTCTCTGATAGCCTGGAGGTAGCCAATAAGGAAAACGACCTTCTCGCCAGTAAGAATACCGAGGTATTGGCTCGGCTTGAAAAAACCGAAAAAGAAAGAGATGTCCTGAAGAAGGAAAACGACTCTCTTCAGGATGAGAAAGATGCCCTCCAGCTTGAGAAGAGTGTCTGGCAGACTGAACGTGATTCAATCAGAGACGAAAAGGCAGAGCTCCAGCGCCTTTTGGCTGATGAACAGTCTGCTCGGATGGCTTTTGAGAAAAGAGCTCTGGACGAGCGCAATGCTCTGATTGATACCATCAGCAAAGTGAACGGTGGAATGCTGGCTCTTCATGCTCGGTTCTCAAGAGTCGGAGCTCTTAGATATGCTCAGGGATTCCGAGATGGTTTCTCCGACCGAGTTCCGGCTGAGGGACAGACCAGTTTAACTCCAGATGAGATTGATAAGGACTTAGCGATTGATCCTCTGGGGGTCTATGTTGACCCAGAACCCACCGAAGCCGAGCACATATTTGATGAATGTCAGGAGATTGCTTCCTCTAGGATCACTACAGCTCCTCCTACCGTTCAGCCTCTAACCGCTCCTCATTCGTCAACTGTGGTATCTCCCATAGTCACTGCTGACGTTGGCCCCCAGCAGAATGACTCTGTTATTCATCTTGATTCCCCACCTCGTGAGGGTGAGATGGCTGACGGGACCGAGGAGGCGGATCGGCACAACCAGGAGGCTGTCGGTACTGAGGCAGCTAGCTAGGACTCCTCCAGACTCTTCGATTCCATACTTTTTTGTAATAATGTGACTTGAATACTTCATTTTTTGTAACTCCAATGCTTATCATGAATGAGATGACAGAACTCTTTTTTCTTTGTGTTACGCTCTGTTCAAACCCATTTTCAATATATATATATACTTTTTTTTTTTTATATTAACTTTGTCGTGTGCGTGTTTTTGGCAAGTGCCTGGCGCTCGGCTAGAATGCCACTTGCCATTTGGCTTTTCATTTTTTAGCAAGTGCCAGGCGTTTGGCTTATGATGCCAGCTGCCACTTATCTTGCTTAAGTGCCTGGCGCTCGGCTAGAATGCCACTTGCCACTTGGCTCTTTATTTTTTAGCAAGTGCCTGGCGTTCGGCTTATGGTGCCAACTGCCACTTATCTTGCTTAAGTGCCTGGCGCTCGGCTAGAATGCCACTTGCCACTTGGCTCTTTATTTTTTAGCAAGTGCCTAGCGTTCGGCTTATGGTGCCAGCTGCCACTTATCTTGCTTAAGTGCCTAGCGCTCGGCTAGAATGCCACTTGCCACTTGGCTCTTTATTTTTTAGCAAGTGCCCGGCGTTCGGCTTATGGTGCCAGCTGCCACTTATCTTGCTTAAGTGCCTGGAGCTCGGCTAGAATGCCACTTGCCACTTGGCTTTTTATTTTTTAGCAAGTGTCTAGCGTTCGGCTTATGGTGCCAGCTGCCACTTATCTTGCTTAAGTGCCTGGCGCTCGGCTAGAATGCCACTTGGCTCTTTATTTTTTAGTAAGTGCCTGGCGTTCGGCTTATGGTGCCAGCTGTCACTTCTCTTGCTTAAGTGCCTGGCGCTCGGCTAGAATGCCACTTGCCACTTGCCACTTGACTTTTTATTTTTTAAAACCCATTGAAAAGGAAAGTTATTTTTATAAATTTCAGGAATTTGCACATTCATACGTACTTGATTGACAACAAACAACACCCAATAAAGCCGAAACTTAGCTTTTATTGGTAGTACCTCTTCAGAGACGTGGCATTCCAGGGCATGCTGACCAACCTTCCCGCCATGGTCTCTAACGTATATGCTCCCTTCCCTATGACTTCTGCAATTCTGTATGGGCCTTCCCATGGTGGCAGCATTTTTTTGACTATCCCCACCTTTCTTTTCAGAACCAGATCGCCAGGGGCAAAATCTCTGTGTTTCACTCTTTTGTTGTGACTATTCGCCAATACTTGCTGGTATGATGCTAACCTTATTGCTGCAGCGTCCCTCTTTTTGTCTATCATATCGAGGTTCAATCTTAACATTCTGTCGTTCTGATCTCGACTCTATGCTAAGCTTCTGATAGTTGGGATCAAGTGCTCAACCGGTATAACCGCCTCAGTACCATATGCCATTGCAAACGGGCTCTCCCCAGTCGGCCGCCTTGGGGTGGTTCTATAAGCTCATAGGACGTTCGGGAGCTCATCCAACCACTTCCCTTTATGGTCCTCCAGCTTCTTCTTAATGCAGGCGAAAATTGTTCTGTTTGTAATTTCTGCTTGTCCATTGGCCTGAGGATGACTTACTGCAGCCAACTTCTGATTAATTCCATA